GGAGTCGAGACTGCGCGGCGCGCCGCGACTTTGCCTCGTGTGTATCGTACCTTAGGTTTAACCCCCGTCACGGCATTGCTCCTTCCCCCTCCCCCGCCGCGGAAATGCGTGTCGCTGTACTCTCTCACTCCCTCATCCCTGTCGTTCTTTCTTTTTCTTTTTCGTTCCCTTTCTTCGTCACTCTCGCTCTTTTATCGGGAAACTCTATACAAGGGTAGCGATGGCCATTCAATTTTTCCTCTCGCGGAGTTCCTTGAGTCGAACACTTCGACGAACGTAATCGTGCAAAGGTCCCGATCACTTCCGTGTAAGTTTCCGTAAAACGTTATTCTTGTTAGTCGTTCGACCGTCGACTATACTTTCCAACTTGGTCGTTACTCCGAGAATCTCGACAAATCATCATGGTGGAAACTTGATACGTTTCGCCATACGACCTGTCGCCATTATTGCAGTAACAGGATCGTTCAAGCTACTTACAGATAGATTTAAAGGATGACCCGTAGTTGATCTGTATTTTCACGGATGTAAAGTTGTTGCTTCTTAGACGCAGCCTCCAGCGTACATAAACTCTTCGCTGTCGCGTGCTAAGATCCGTGTATATTCCTTGCGATTTGCAACACTTCGACACTTTCGACACTTCCTTCGCGCCATTTTTACATAAACTGACATGGTGACAAAAATGTATGTATGTAATGCGCTAAAAGAATGCGCAGTAGTTTGCGAGAACGCCGCCAGGGGGCAGTTTAGGTCTGCCCTTACATTCGCTCTAAGTGCAGTTTGTTTTTTATTCTGAATGTAACCTTATTTAAATGTGACTCGAAAGAAAGTGCGTGTAAAAAGAAGCTGAAACTAAAGTACGTGTGAAAAAGAAATTGTAACTAAAGAATGCGTGTGAAGAAGAAACCACAACTAGAGTACGTATCAAGGAAAAACTGTAAGTATTGCACATCGATACTGTAAATCGGTTCATCTTCTTTTTAGTGTGCATGTGTCATATCTATATTATTTTATTTATCATATACAATCGATAAATGAAAATAGTCTTTGAAACATGCATTTTTTTCGTCGTTTATGGTTATCATATGCAGATAAGAACAAAATTGCGTAATATGACAATTATGAAACTTAACCTGACTGGAACTTTTATTTGGTACAACGCTTTAAAATTGATTTGAATGGCTATCATAAAGTCCTAACCTTTACGAATGCTTATCAGAATGAAAAAATCCAAACAAATGCATGTAATAAACAAGTTTCTCAAGAAAAATATGAAGGTATTTCGCACCACTTTTACAACTGATATGTTATATGAATTCATTACTCTACAAAGGAACGCGCAATATAGTAGACAGGAGATTTATAGTTTTGCATGCGTAGGGGTGACTCATTTTAATCTATAAATGGATATATATGGGAAAGTACATTGAGAGTTGAACGGTGAATATGTGAGGGTTGAAGGAAGTCGGGGGAGGCATTAGAATATCAAGGAGAAAGTTCGGTGGGAAACGAAACGTAACAGAACTCTATTATCAATACTACTTGTTAGACTATCTTCTTTGACGTCTTCACCTACCGAAATTCCTCTTGAGCATTCCCTTAGATACCCTTTAACTGTCGCATATTCGATTTCTTCGCTTCGTCGTAGTTGGCATATTTATTTATGAATTAAAAGGAGTTACAGTTAGTTATACTTATTTAATGTCTAATTCACAAAATTTGTTAAATGAACAAAGTTTTCGCGATGGTGACACAATTTCGAACATACGTTTTTCAATGAAGTAAACTGTAAATTGTAAAAATGACATTTGATTCTGATTTTTGAGCCTTATTTTCCTTATTGATAAATTTGGTTAACAAATTAATGCGTTGTTATATCCGAAGGAAGGTTAGGAAATTTTTACGAAGTATCTATATATTATGCATAGGAGTGGAGAAGGATAAAATATTTACATTGTTAATCTGGACCTTTTTGCACAATAATTTACCAACTAATAATATCAGTAAATTGACAAGTTACAAATTGCAAATTATAGACTTTTCCTTTATAATTAAACTATGATGTTTGTGCAAATTCATATGTATTTTTATACATACAATTACAGAAATGGAATGTAAATAGTGTTGTTTAGTTTCACGATTTAAATATTGATAATGAGTACTGTATGTATTTTTGTAATCTTACGACGAATAGAATAATCAAATGATCTGTGGTTTGAGAAATTTGTTTATAAAAATTTATTTGTTACTATCATACAAAAAAATTTATCAGTGCTGGTAATTTATGACCTATGACTTATAAAATTTCATTGAATTTATTGAAAAATAATAATATTAGTTTAATAGTGCTAGAGAAATTTGTTGATGTTTCGTACAAATTGAATGTTTTTCGCTGCTTGTATTTTCGCGTTTCATATTTTGTTATAAATCTGTTGTCTCATTTGCAACATACGTATTTTATAACGTAAAATAATAAATAAAGTAAAATTTGTTAGACTTTTCAAATAACTGTAAGGAATAACTGTATCAAATATTTATAACCGGCAGAGTATATACGTATACAGAAAAAGCAGCAAATTGAATTTTTCAAAATCTGACATCATGAAATGTTTCAATATTAACATCGTCAGATTTTCAGCTTTTATTTAACCAATATCGTGGCAATACATTATAAATCTACTTCAACGATACCTCGTATATCACAAATAATAATTACACGGCTCAAAAATCGTCATTTTACCGTGTATTTATCATCCTTATTCTCATTTCGGTAATTACAAAAACCGCGGTGCTCCTCAATACACCTGTATACGGTACTTGATGTATTTTCCTCGATAAATATTACTTAAAAAACGCTGGTGTGTTTATTCGAAATACACGAGGGGCAAAATATTTGCAAATATTGTCAGTTTACCGCCCGGAGTAAAATGCATACAATATAAACAGTCATAAAATGCAAGCGTCGATAAATATTCGCTTATTCGATAACGAAAAACACGCGGCCTCATAATATAACACCATGCGTATCTACGTCCATGCCACCTTAAATCTCCGCGGGATCTCTTTGCAGTGAACCAACCCATGTAACGTTACGTAACTTTTACGCAACTTCCTTTGCAGACGTAACAGGATACGAACGACGACGACGACCGAAAAACATGAGCGTCGAAAGAAAGTTCCCTTCATATCGACTTCGTGTTCGTTTATTACGACCTATAGCCGCATGTACTTACGATCTTCCGCGTCCATCACCCCTCTGCCAGTATCTCACCGTCTCTGTTCTTTATTTTCGCTCCCTCCGTCTTTCCCTAGTAATTCCACAGGGGGTTTCACATAATGCTTTTTTTCAGGCCGCCCTCTTGGTATACATCGGGACACAAGGTCCTAGTATCCGTAGTTCGGTTGCCCCGAGTGACGCGAATTTTTCCCCGAAACGACTTTCCATTCGTGCACAACACGGAATCCAGTCGGTACCCCCGGAGGCGCGCTCCCGTGAATTATCCGAGTGCCTTCGGTAATTCCGCTGGGAATCGTTTTGCATAATGTTAAGAAAATACTCGTAAAAGGCCATGCTGAATGCGGCCCGGCTAGGTCGTTGTTACCCGCCGATATTGCTACGCGTTATGACACCGACAGCGATCATCGTGACCGACAAAAATTTCCCTCGGTTTTAACGCGCGTCCGTTTACTCGCTGTTAAATCGAACACGTCCAAATTATGCGTATTAAGATATTATCATATGGACTAATTCCTGTTGATACTATTTTGGTTTTAGTAATTGTGGTATTTTTGATATAATCTTACTTCAATTTAAATTCAATGTCGATCCGTAGGTAAACACGCCAATAACGAAAATATTCTATAAACAGGAAATTTTTATTAAAATAGAATGCTACGTTTTATTACAAAGTTAGTTCTTTTTATGATCAGGCGGCTAGGAGATGTTTTATTATTGCTTTATCGTTTATGTTATACACAGTTACACATTTTTTACTTAAACAAAAATAGGTTTTAATAAAGTGTAGACAAACTTTCGCGAGTACCGGTAAATAAAGAAGACATGTATAAAAAACATTTCATTTTAGATATTTTGTATATTTTTACATATTATATACATTCTGTGCATTCTCATAAATGCATAAACTTTCACGGTACAATATTACATATGTTTCTCATAGCGTAGAACTACGTTTGGTTGAATGAATGGAATTTTAACTACTTATTGCTGAATTAACCGAACTTTCGTTGAATAAATTCACATATTTCAAATCCACATGGTGAACTCCCATTCTATGAACAATTTA